TCGAAACTGTCGAAACAATTTCTGAAAAGTTTCGACTTTTGCCAAAATGGGTTTAGGGTTTTGCCCCGCAACTATAAATCTTAGCAATGAAATCTAATTAAATTTTTTGCTGGAATACTAAAAAATAAACTATACTTTTGTTTGTAACTTTGGCAACGATGAGCTTTCGAATCGTTGATTTGTGTATTCTATTTGTCGTCCCATGTAATCTTTCAAGGATGTGGAACCGGAAGAACGTTTTCAGATTAGAGGAAGTTTTTATGATTGTTACACATTACCAATTCCTCATTCAGAACAGTAGATCTTCATAGTAGAAACTTAAGAATTCTTCATTTTTACTGTGAGGACGAGACATTTCCAACTGTGATCACAATTATCTTTACATCTAGTGACAGAGAAACTTCGGATACACAATGACTTGATAAATAATGAAACTACTCACCATGGATTTCCTTAAACTAAAAACGATGACCTTTTTTACGCGTCAGATGAATTTTTTGGAATTTAAAAAAATTTTCTTTTTAAGATAAAATTTTAATTTTCGATATATGGGAGAGCATCAGTAAAAAAAGGGGGAAATCTGAAATTTTAGTTCCTAAACTAATTTTAACATGATTTTGATAAATTTTTATCAAAATTTAGATTTCCCCTTTTTTTATTGACTGCCGCCCATATTTTGTCAAATAAACGAGATTTATAATCAACTTACCTTTTGATTAATTTTAAATATCTAGTGGAAAACATATTTATAATTCATGTATTCAGTTAGAAAACATAATGTAACTTTCTCATCTTTTAAAAAGAAATGAAAGTTGATAGTTTAAGATCTTACCTCATGATAAAAAAATATAATCCGAACGATAATATGTATTGCTCATGGTTTTATAGAAATCTATCAAGTACTAAAACCAAAAATAATTGAAAATACCAATCCTGATAATGAAAAGTTTTTGGAAGTTTGATCCTTCTCATTCTTGATTCTTTCATTGCTATCTTAATTTCCATTTTGTTGTTCTTTCAAAGATATGATTTCGGAAAATTTAATATCTTACACCTTTGACGATATTACTATAATTAAACACAAAACTTTATTAAATAAAACAGCTTGATACAAATGTACTTAAGTAAAATACTAAACTGACTTGGTGAATACATACGATTTGTAATAGCTTTTTATTACTCAAAAAATATTTGTTATAAGCTTATTCTCTCCTCGAAACTCTTTGATTTTGCATTGTAAAAGATAACCAACTTCACATATTTTGCAAAAGAAGTCAAATCCAAACCTTTTTGGTAGCACTAATATGCTCAATCAACTTTTTACGAAGTTATTCGCTCTAAATAAATTTAAAAAAAAAATTGTTGAATCAAACATTTCATTTTATTACTTCATAAATATTATGTATATATAGTTTACCTCTTCTATTTCTTTTTTAAATGCTCATTTAGCTTTAACGACACACTTTATTCACAGCTTAGAGATAAAAAAAAAAATGCATAATCATCATCGGTCTTTAATTTTCATTTAATCAAGTGAATAAAGGATTCAGAAATTAAATAATTGTAACTTATGAGAATTGTCGTTGTATGATAATGCGTGAAATCTTCGGGTGCGATCAGATAATATACATACAGAAGAACTATTACGTAATTTGATTTCCTTATATGGAATTGATGACAAGGGCCAAAATTCCAAAATTTCAAAAATTTACAAAATTAAAATGACGTAATTTCTGGATCTTACATGTACACGTGATTTTCTGAATAAAAATGTATGTGTAAACAGTTCTGGTTTATTTATTTCTCTCTCTCTTGAGTTTTGACAAAATCAGTCTTTTTTCGCATTTATTACAATAATTTTATTTTACATTTATCTTTTCGAGATTTTTACTTGCATGTTCGCAAAGTAAAAACGTACGTAATCTGTGATTGCAAATTTTTCCAAATCGACCTGTCAACCAACGCGTCTTTTCGTGTTTTGTTTATTAAAAAGACACTCCCTCAGAAATATCACGTACGGTGAAGCAAAAAGATTTCCTTTATTGTGGACGAGAGTGGTTTTAGTATTAGTTGATATCATGAACCATTGTATGACAAACAACTTGAAGTATCGAGCTATTATTTTAGGTGGGTGTCATTTGAATTTGTCACTGTCTGTTATTAACTTTGTGGGGTCTAGGGGTGCACAGTAAAAGCACTCTTTGTGGTGTCTCTTGGTGGGATTATCCTCTTGAGACTGTGTATTCCTATGTGCCCAATTTCTCTGAAGCACGAGAGTAAGCCTTAGCAGAATAATACTATTCCTATGGCATCTGTTTGGGATGTCAGACTCTCTTTTGATTGAATCTGTTCTGACCCTCCACCACCTTCTCTTTTTTTTTTATCACTTAGAACGTTGTATTGGTTTCGTCCATTAGAAATTTAACCATAAATAAATTTAGCGGTGTTACTTAGTTTTCGATTTTTAGCCGCAAAAAAAATTTATGCAAACTTTCATTAATTTATTTAGTCACGAGATACATACAAGAAATGAAAAGGCGAGTGATGATGGGAGCGTCACAAACCTTGAGGATTTGTTCAGAGCTACGGCATTTGCGTGTCAAGTCTGAATATGAAGGGTTCGTTGGAAAAAATTGATTAAAATGCATCATCGCACATCATCAACCTGCTGTCCAGAGCGTACTACTTGACACGAATTTCAATCAAACTTGGTATTTCTAGATTTTTGACGTATGAAAACCTGCATTCTGCATTTTTTTTAATTTTTTTTTAATACAATTCTTCTGTTGTATTGATTTTGTTTTAAACAAAATTTTTTTTCTTATTTCCGAATATTATAAACCAATAATTCAATTTTTATTTGTTTCAAATTAATATAAAATTAAAATCTGCAAGAATTTAAATCGTAAAGGAAATATCTAGTGAATTATAATACAAAAAATAAAATAAATAAAATATCCCAATTATTCATCATCACCATGATGAAACACAAAAACTTCCATTTCTTCGATAGCAAAATTACTGGTTTCTAAAATGTTACTCTCATAATAAGCTTGATTGCATGTGCCAGCATCGTCATTGATAACCAAATCACTATTACCAAAATTTATTGGCATATTTTGATAATACGATTCATACATCGCATAATTGTTGTTGACAACTCGACTAATCTTGAAATTATTCAAATCGTTTCCATCACCTAAAGAGAAGATAAAACAATCGGCAGTATTAACCCAATAATCTTCAAGTATCATATTAAGACTAAAACCTTTATCAAATCTACGTCCTTGACTTGATCTTTGTCTTCCACGTCTTCCACCACCAAAAAAATTATTTTGAATAACATTATAATTCCAGCCAATAGGATTATAACCACCAATTATTGTTTCATTTTCTTCAATTTTAATAACTAGAATGCATTCTTCATGTCCATTACCATGACTTCGTATAGCATTGGTATCAAAGCCATCTCTACTTCCACGATAAATAAGATTAAATTTAAATTTATTATCTATTGGAATTCTTGCATTAGCATCTTTTCTTTGAATCCAGTTAGCAAGGGTAGCCGCATGTTTTGGTTTAATGATCATTGAATCAATAGGAATTTTTTGATAACGAGGAACCAATTTATTTTGCATAGGTTCAGTATTATTAGACTTATGAAACGACACGATATCTTCAAATAGGGATTGAGGTAACACTTTCTTAAAAGGCAGAATCTTACTATGAAAATCTTTTAAAGAAATTTCGAAGAATCGAATATGTGCGATAAATTGATTCAAGGTATTTCTTAAAGTCATAAAATCCTTTTCACTCCAACTACTTAAATTCGTCACATCCTTATCTCTCAATTCCAAAGTTTGAGATATCCCCC